GCAAATTCATTTGGAGAACCTGATGCGCCCACGGCAATTGAAGTTGATTTCGCAGCGTGGTTTCATAGAAATGATTAGCCTAATTATCCCATGAAATTGTGAGGAACATGTCGAGGATTGAGATTATCGCCTCGTAGAGAGAAACCTTGATTACCCAGACAAAATACTGTACAAATACATCAAAATACCCCCTGGCGGAACTCTTAATGAACGGAATGTCGAGGCTCACCTTTTCTTCATCGATGAACTGACGTGATCTCTGCAAATTCACTTTACTTCTTCATATGCTGCTTATCATGTTAGTACGTCTAGTTTCCATTTAGAATTTCAGATCAGAATGAATGACGTGGTCGACGCGCTATATACTGTAACAGGCATGGATAAGAAATATTCAAGACCAAGAAATATTTCCCCGGAAGAAATTGCAAGGAGTGCCGCATCATCAACTCAAGAAGAAAGGGAATTTTCAATTTTTTTCAAAGTACTTCAGTGATACGTGTTCTACTGTGATAAAAAATATGCAATTATATTTAGTGAAGTTCAATTTATGAATTAGGCAGATTGACTAGTTAGATTTATCGAATCTTGCCAGAATTGCGGAATATGCAGTCACGAGAATCGTTTTCCCAGTGCTGGTGCTTGCTGGATGTTGAAGAAGCGCGTAGTTTGCGATGACGGCAAGGCAAAGGATGATTCCTTCGATTCGAGCTCCGGCCGGTCAATAAACAAAATAAAGTCGAGGGTAAATGTGGTCTTTATTTGCGGACAAGTAGTTATTGGCTCCAGAAAAATATTAGGGGCCACTCCACAATATTGACCGAGGAGAAATGAGGCATTCGTCAACAGACTGACGGCATTGTTTCCGCGCCATGCGTCCATCGGCTCTGTTTTCCTGGACGTGATCCTGCCCGAGTTTGGATCACGACCACGGCGAATAAAGGAAAGGAAAGGCCCGAAAAGGGTCAAGATCAAACGCTTACCGCCTCAGCAAGTTACAAGAAGAAACTTCCGCTCCTCTATTAGCCAATCAAATGTGAAGCAAAGATCTGGCGAATGTACAAACCCAAGACGGCGTAAGTGCCGCGGAAACTTGGGCATTGTGTGGAGGGTTAACCCGTTTGAGCAAGTCAGGGTATGAAAGAATTTTTAATAGACGAGAGGTAAACCCACACGACGTCCACCAAGGTTCAGATTCGGATTCTCTGCAGTTCCATTTGAAATTTTTAAAATACAGTATAGCAACATTTCAATAATCTGTGTTCATGACCACGTGGGTCTCTTTTGTTCAGATAGTAAAATACTGTATATTCAATCATAGAATATTTAAAAATTGCATGCAACAGATTCCGTGGATTTCATGAAAGATGGGAAATTTAGTGTTGCTCAATCATACTTAGCTGCAAATGTTGAAGTATTTGTCAGGGACTTCGATCCCAGAAGAAGGAATTAAATATTCAACAATCAGAGTTTAATAATCTTGAAGGACTCAACTCTCCATCCCGGGGTTTCTTCTGAGTGCTTGACACTAGCATTTGGTTGTTTTAGAAAAATATCAATTGAATTCTACCGGATAGATAATTTTTTTTTTTTAGCTCAGATGAACGTAAGTTTGATATACAGAACATTAAATGCTCACTTCATCGTGCCAATTGCTCTCACTTATTTTCACACTGACTCCCACACGTATTCTCCCATGGACGAATGAAGGATTTTATAGACAGCTGATTCCTGTGGGACTGGGAGAATTCTGCCGATTTCTTCCTGGCTAACGATTGGCCAATGAAGGAAACTTGAAGAAATGATGACCACTTCTTTGGCCTCCAGTGAGGCCCATTGAGCTTTGACAACCAAGGTTTTGGTCAGGCTCACAAGCCTTAAAAAAAGATGGGTTACCTGGCTGGATTCACTGTGCAGAAAGGCAAAAAAAGTTACTTCAGTGCGGCACAGATTGTGGCGCCATCTTTGGGCCACGACAGTACTGTACAGAAGTGTATCAAGTGTCCGTCAAGATGAAATAGACAGGCGTGAAAGGATGCTTTGTTTCGTATTATGGAGCAGGGTTAATCCGCGATCCATTTGAGTATAACCCAGATTATTGTGGGTCTACTGAAATTCAGTGATGATTGAAGTTTTCAGAATGATAAAATTAAGATATGTGGGAATGCATTACAGTTCATAAACTATTCGGATGGCCAACAGAAGCCCATGAGGACTTGAAAGGGATGATCAGCCAATTCAGCGCAAATCGAAGACTCATCGATCCGCTTGCCAAAACCAATCAATGATTGAAAGCATGAAGATCAGAATTTCGCGTAACGGATCAGAAATTATGTAACGTCTTTGGCGAAGATAAATGTCTCCGTAATCTGAACTGCTGTTTTATCCCATGCGATTCAATGCTCAGATTGAGTCAAAAATTGTTTTTGTCATTCATACTTTGAAGTTCCTTGAATGAATGAATCATCATCCCTCAGTGGATGATTTCCCCACTTTCTGGAGATAACACTCAGTTTGAGCATTCATTTTTCAAATCCAGGTTCCAACTTCAGCCAATTTCTTGAGCATTCGGATAATCTCCGATAATTCCCAAATTTCCCGAAAGAAAAGAATATAGAATGACATTGTGGATGAAATGCGGGCGCTTCATTTCCAATTTTTTTTT